TTTAAAATATATTTCGTTTATCCTTTTTCATCTACAGAAAGGGGTAACGTTTATGCCGAACTTTCAAAACAATGCATATACAATTATTAATGAGGCATCTCTGCATGAAGTTCGTTTGAATGAGTTTAATTTAATAAAAAATTTTATCAAAATATTTTTATTTGAGTTGATGAGGGTAAGTTGGAAACTGTTGTACATTAGCAAAATAAGAAGATCGCTTGTTAAAAGGATTTTTTTATCAATAAATTTTTAAGGCTAGATTAAATTATCTGTTTAGTGATTTAGAAACAAATAATGGTTGGCAAATATATTAGCTAGTAGTATGAAATGGTTACTTTATGTTAATATTTTTAAGACATTGATCGATCCAACAGATTGATCGAATTGCTAACCGTTAAGATTTTAATATTATATATATATATATATATATATTATTTTTTATTTAAATATTATATTATCTTCGACTACCAATCCAACTAGATAGTTGTAAAAATATTGACCTACTAATGTTTACTCTTTCAATCCACTTTATTTGTCACTTTTTAAAAGAATAAAGTGGTTTTTTTATAAATCATTAAATTGATAATGATATTTTATTCTAAATAAAATATTTAAATTACTTTTAAAAAGTAAGAGAGAGAAATAAAAAAACTAATATTATATAATTTATTTATTTTTTAAGGGTTATGATTGTATTTTTATTAGATTTTATTTTTTGTACTTTTATTATATTAATATTAATGAAATTGATAAAATGACTTATAAATAAGACTAAATGAAATATAATTATTGTCTATTTTGATTTCTAAAGTATTGGTTTATGTCGTAGGTTTAATTCCTTAAAGATATTATCTTGCTTGTGATTTTTATGAGAATTTTTTTTTAGCCCCTTGCAATCCAAAAATTTTTTTAAATTTGTTTGTGGGGTCTTGTATATAAATCATTTATAGTCCATTTGGTTTCATAAAATATACCCATCCATATTTATAAATCATCTAACCTCTCGTTCTTTTATTTATATTTATAAACTTTTTTGCAAAATAGATGACGTAATTAATGTTTTGAATACTGTTCTTGGTATGGATATTATCAAGTGAACATGTCAATAGGAGCTAGTTATAATAAAATACATAAGACTGCTCAAACATAAAGTCTCTGCTTTAAACATGTATGAATGTAAAAAATATCTTAAAAAAATATAATATTAAATTTTTATATTTTATTCAAATTTTATTATAAATTTTTACATTTTTTTTACATTTTAAATTCTTTCAGGAGTGATATTATAAGGATTTAAAATATTAAAAAATAAAAATATAAAGATTTATAATATAAAAAAAAGTAAAAAAACTTATAATAAAATTTGAACAAAGTATAAAAATTTAAAATTATATTTTTTAAATATATTTAAAAGAGTAACCTTCAATTGAAATTTAAAACAAAAACTTAAATCCGGTCTAGTCAAATAGCTATAGTAAAAAATAAAGTGTATCATTATAATGAAGAGAGAGGCTGAGGAAGATGTTCAAAATGATGTCAGAATTCATTTAATTTAATCAACAACGCTTTTTGAAAGTTCTGATCATTTTACGCACATCAACTAATTTTAGCTGATAGTATCTGTTATTGTTATTTGTGTAAATTAGTCAAAAGCTACTTATAAATAAAAGTGTGATATACCCTCGAAGACATCTGTGCTGCGGACTATGCGAAGTGCTTTTTTCACGAGAGTAGAGGCTTGAAAGGCATGACGGGCCACAGGGTAGCTTGAATAAGAGGGAACAAAATGGGATAATGATATAGAGAAACCTAAAAAATTAATTAATTAAGGTTAGATTATAAATGTCAAATTTTAAGAATTTATAATTCTATTATGATAAGGTTATATTTTAAATTTCAACAGAAAAAATAAATTTTTTCTTTCACTATGTTAAAATTTTTGAAAAAAATCATAAATTTATCATAATGCAATTGCAAGCTTAAGAGGTTGAGTTGTGAATTTTTTAAGTTTGATATTTAAGATTTAATTTAAATTGATTAATTATTTTTTGACCATTTTGCTATTCTATCAGAACAAAATGTTTGGAAAGGAAGAAAGTGATAATGAGGAGAAAAAGTGCAAGAAAACAAAAAATGTCGCTTGCAAAGGAAAATCATGAGTGCCGGGCTCCTTTAGTTGAGCCAAGCTAATGAGTAATGTTTAATGTCTGATCGCTGAACTTTGCTTCTTTCTTTAAAGTCACCTTTTATTGCGATCGAAGCTACTACTTTCGTCAGGCCTTTGTGCAGTTCTTCGTTCTCATCGGGTGTACATGTTGACATTTACGTCATTTGTTGCTTTTGTTTTTTGATTGAAGGGAAATAAAGCACTAACGTCGTGTGGTTTTAAAGTAAACCAAAGGCCCAAGACAAGTTTCCATAAAACTTACCTTTTAAGTTTTAAACACATTCTTCAACTTCGCAAACCTTATGTAATATCTTCACTCCCCTTAACTGTGCACGAACGAATAATTAACAACATATTTTTCTGTCCTTATTCTAATACATTTTTAACTATCTTACCGTAATTAATGAGGGCTGATTAAGTGATAAATTTTATTTATTTACGAATAGAATAAACTTTTATTTTTATTTCTATCTAAATGAGAAATTTTTAAATTTATATTATATCTTTTTTCATAGTTAATAAATTTAAATGTGGATAACATTAAAAAAATTTGATTAATATCCCGTTAGATGTTGTACATGAAGCTTTGAGAAGTACTTTTTCAATTGAATTATCATCACTTGTTTGCCTTTTGCTTGACTTTCGCCCTTCTTGTTACATTTTTATCCCCTTATCCTTAAGTGTTGTTCATTTTCCATAGAAATGTCTAACGCTAGACAGTTGCTTCTTGCATGGTGAAAAAATAAAAGGAAAATTATAATCAAGGACCTAAAAGAAAGAATAATAATGATCAAGGACAACAAAATCCTGAAATTAAATTTAAGGACCATAGTCCTCTTTTGCCACCTAAAAAACAATATTCTGACTAAAAAACTGTTTTTGCTAATTAAGTAACTACGTTTCAAAGAAAGGGAGATGTTTTAATCAATTTTTTTTATAAAAAAAGGACCATGATTCTTAAATTCAATTTTATAATTGTGTGATGTTACTAGTTTTTCCAAGTCCTTAATTATAATTTTCTCAAAAAAAAAATACTTGCAAATATTTGGGCTGCCAAACAGCCCAAACATGAACGACCGGGCCAGCCCAGCACTGTGCCTCAATTACGATAGATGGGCTTAACGTTATCTAAGTTCGACCAGTTACAAACCTTTTCTCTTTTTGTTTTTGGATGAAAACAGAAAAACTTTTTAAAATTGACATCGAATTTTCAAGAGAAAGCTTCGTGGTGCCAGTTGGGCCACATCCGGACTGTCTGTTAGTCCAGCGCGTACCGTGCACGCCAGTCGCTGAATTTTTTTGTGCACAAAGCTTGTGGTGACCTGTGATTGTGAATGCTTTGATCTATTATTAATATATCTATATTATTGACAATAATTGATAATTAACATTGATTTGTTCGTCTTGGGCCCGAAAAACAGATGATTCGAGCACTGGTCTTGGAAGAAATGCATCAATTGGTTTGATAAATGGAAACGTTTGTAGTTAATTATGCTATTTGCATTAATATGCCTAATAAAAAAGACAGATTTAAAACAAAAAATATTTTTTAATGAATGTCAAAGGTAAAGTATCTTTTTAAATCAAGATATTTTTTCTCACTAAAGTATTTGTGCCTCTTCTTTTGATATCATCGCCATTCATTATTGTTGTCATTAAAATTAAAAATATTATGGATTACATGATATTCTCTGAATGTATGTAATAATCTCAGCAAACTTGAATCATTTACAAGGCAATTTATGGTCACATACTTTCATTTCATATGTCTTAAGAAATATATATATAAAAAGGGCAAAGGCCTATAAATCCCATCAATCTATATTCGTTAATGTTGTACGGGTGTGAATATTGAAACAAGTTGCATCAGTACATTGCTAGTTGATAACTCGATTTTTTTAATATATTTTTTATTTTATTTAACAATAAACAAAAGGCTTAAAACACTAATTCATTTATTAATAATCGATAAACGAAGCAAAAATTTTAATCATCAATTAAAAATAAACAATGATTTTAATCAAAATAAAAAAAATTAAGGATCAAATACGGGTGAGTGCAAACTAAGCAAGTGGGGAAATCTGTTGGTGCCAGCATTAAAAGTGATTAGGGTCACTAATTAGAGTTGGCCCAGTAAGCTTAAAAAAATTCAGAGCTAGGCTATTACTTTAGAATATAAAATGATAATTTAAGGTTAAAAAGGTTCTTTTAAGTCAAAAAATAAAAGGGCTGGCTGGCTCTTTTAAACCCTTTTATAATTTTTTTAAATTTTAATATTAAAAAAATTAAATACTATATTAATTTTAAAACTCTAGTCTCATTTCACGAGAATAAAAAAAAAATATATGAAAAGCTTAATATATTTATCGTTGATAAGGCTCTACATCAAGAATGATAAAATTATACTGATATTGATGATAGTTAAAAAAATTAAAATTTAGTTAATGATATTAGCAAAGTTTGATTGTTATCGGTGTAAATTTTTGTGATGATGTTATTTTTTTATTAAACTTAAACTTGTTGTTGTGTATATTAATTTAAATTTATTTTTTAAACTTAATGTAAAATGTAATAAATTTTTTAAATTTTCAAATTAAAAAATAAAAATATAGAGTTAAGGTTTGAGGGTCAATCCTTCAGCTTTAAAAGTCAGGATTAGGCTAAATAGAGCTCCAAAATATAATTAAGTAAAACAATGTTAGTTTTAGGGCCTCACCCCCGATGGCTGGGCCCTAATTCACAAAGGTTAAAGGCGACAAAGTTTTTTTTTTTTTTCGGGGTAGAAAAAGGCGGCAGAGTTGCTGGACCATTATAATTGCTGGTGACCCAAAGCCCAGATACAAATCCGTGGAGGCTACCTATGCGTTAGCGTTCCCTGATTTCGCTCCCTACTCCTCTTTCTCTCATGATTTTGGATGATCCTCTTTCTTTAACCTCGAAGAGGAGGCGGATCACAGCCATTGATTCCATGGATGCTGAAGCAGCTAAGGTTATCGATTTTGATTCTTCCTTTCTCGTCTGATAATTTTCCTTTTCTTTCCCCGCTTCTAGGTTTGGTTTATTTTCGCCTTTTGTGCTTTACTTTCTCATTGCCTCTAGATTCGTTCGAAGGGCTTCTTCTTAGTTTTTTCCTTCTCTTTATTATTTCCTTCACTGGCAAGCTAAGAATTTCTGGTTTTTAGTATTATCCGTGGGTTAAAGTGTTTCCTTGGCTTGACATTAATATCTATCATTAGTGGTGAAGCATGGGATTTGATTTTTGATACCTGATGATGGAACATGTTGAAACTTGCAGGAAGTAAACAACCAGGATTGGAACACTGCTGATTATAATTGATTTTAGGCAAAAAGTGTAAAAAAATGCGTTTTAAGATAACACTTCGTAAATAAGTGTTTTAACATATTGTCGACCCTTAATCGGGTGGTGAAGCGGAATCCATTCTTTGTTAATGTGTCCTCGATGCTAGGTCCAACCATCTCAAATTGTACGTGAATTATTTGTTATTTAATATCTTAATGGTGAGTATAAAATAGAAAATATTAGTTCTTTGTAGCCCTTAATCTCGGCTCCTTCCCAACTTCTTCAAAAGACTAATTCACAAGACTTGAATCCGCTTTCTGGCTCCTTTCAGGTGCCTTGTCCTCTTAGAACTAGATTGTAGCCGTTTAGAACTAGGTAAATTCAAACCGAGCTTTCTTCTGTCTGTAACTAGCATTGTTCCTGCAAATTCACGTAATGACTTGGCTTGTCACACAAAAGGCTTCGGTGGTAGAAAATTGTGGTAATTTCTAGGTTTCCTTCTGAATGCAATAACAATACTGCATAAATTTTAAAAATCAAATGTGCTGATATTCTTCAACTTTGATGCAGATTATGTACTATTGTATCATTTATCATTAATTATCTTGTTCCATGTGATTAGAGTAATATTCCTGAATAACTATGCCTTCATCCCTTTCCCCTAAAGTAATAGTTACCTTAAGTCTTCTGTGAGGTTTCACAAATTCTACTCTAAATTCTGAAATTAGCTGTATGTTTTGGTTATTTATATTACAGACAAGTTTTATTGGGTCCAGCCCTTGCTTGTCCAACTGACTTATTCAATTGAATGATTCACAATTGTTTACTTGATCTGCTGTTTTACTTAATGTTCTTTCTTTTCTGCTGTATTTTATGCCACCAGGCCAAGCTTGCAGCTATCAAGGAAAGGTTTGGACGAGAGATCCGTGTATTCGAAACATCTTCAGTTTCTGCAGCACCAAATGCTACAGCTAACAATGGTAATGGCACCTTAACTTCTACACCCCCTAGATCTTATGCATAAAGAGTTATATATATATATATATATAATCTGACTCAGGTGTCCTGAATGAACTGTATTTTCTTGTTGGCATTTTGATGGCAGAAGAGACTGATGATTTCTATGAGTTCACCGCTGAAGATTATTATCAACTGTTGGCTACTAAAAAGGAAGGTAAGAATTATACTTCATTTCCTATGACCCAAGAAGTGAGGTTGTATCGGCCACAAACTGCCATATATTAATGGTTCTGTTTTATTGGAAGGATATGTTAATTTATTTAAATTCTAACTTTAATTAATTAGTAATTAAAGGAGATATATGTTTACCACATTGATTTGCGCTTTATTAAAGATGTTTGTAAAACTGAATTTTTTTTTTTTTTGGGGCACCATCCGAATTGTTATAGGCCTAATATGCTAAGGATAATTATTTCCAAGGACCACTAAACATATTACCTTCTACTTGGAGGTGTATTTTATTGTAATCATGCATGGGCATCCATTCACATTGTAAATAGTTTCAATCAATATTTAATACTCCCTCCGTTTTTTGAGAGGTTGGATGTTAAAAAATGTAAGATATTTTTAGTTTTTCAAGTTGTAATTTTTACTTCTTTTTTTTTTTTCAAAAATGCTCCTATTAAATAAATCACTTTAAATTTATTTTGGGGTGAAACACCCTATTAAATAGAGGTAAATATAGAAAAATAGAGTTAATTTGAAGACAAGTAATTACTTTATTAGGAGTTGAGATTCAGTTAAACATGCCTTACATTTTTGAATGAAAGGAGTAAGGATGAAGGAAAATTGTGTACATTTTAGGAAAATCATTAAAGTTGAGTGATGTTTCAGGATGCACACAGAATGAGCATTCAATTTTTTTGTGAATATTGAAAAAGTATATTAGTTCTGTGCAGATAAATTCTTGAAGACTCGCAAGATCCGAGAAGCAGAAGAGGCGGCTCGTAGGTCAAGAATGACCAAAGTATTGTCATTTTTTTTTATTTTGATAGTCTTTACTTGTTTTTTCAAAGAGTTATAAAATTTGTAACTGCTAGAATGATAAAGTCTTTGACAGATAAGCCTATCTTATAAATTTATTTGATCATGTGTCCAGGCTGTTATTAGAGTTCGCTTTCCTGATAATCACACATTAGAGGCTACATTTCACCCTTCCGAAACACTCCAAAGTTTAGTTGATTTACTCACCAAAGTGATTGCACAACCAGAACAGCCATTCTGTATATGTAAGCATATTGATAACTTCTATCAGGTCAAAACTTTTAAATGACAGTTCTCTTCAATTTGGAGTTTGGAATGGATAATGACCAATTTTGCCATTTGAATACCCTTAGGTAGTGATTGGATTGGTAGGTTTGGATTTGAAATTTGGATTTTAAATCTCATATTGCAAATCCATGTATTTTTAATTATTTGTTTGGGTAGTTTAAATGACAAAGATTATTACTATTAGGTACTATTTCAAGGATGCATGTGGAAATTTGAAATAACAAGGATTTATAAAAGATTTTAAATTATGAAGGAATTAATGTAAATCCAAATCTATAAATTTTTAAGTGCCCAAATAGAGGATTTGGCCCAAATATAAATGTATCAAAACATAGCATTAACTCTTTTACCACCAGCTCACTCTGCCCAAAGTCATATCTGACATCTTGATATGGATCATAAGCTATATTGTTATTCTATATGGCCTCCCTTCGAAATTTTTTTTTTTTTGGGGGTGATGCAGATACTACTCCCCCAAGGAAGCTGATTAAAGACATGTCTCAAGATTTTTATGCTGCTGGCTTTTGTCCCGGTGCCATCGTGTACTTTTCTCATAATACTCCCCTAGGTGAGTTCATGCAGTCAGTGGAATCTTTAGTGCATATTGTCCTTTGACCTGTTCTTGATTTTTACAGTGTGTTTATTAAGTTTAGTTTCGTTGGGTGATCAGGACTTTTGTTTTGCAAACCCACATGTTCTTTTTGATGTCATGGTTCGGTTGCTATGGTTGATTGTTGTGAGGCGCATGGACATGTGTTTGTGAGGCTTTACTAGGGTTTTCTAATTTTCTATAATATGCATGACTACATATCTTTTAATTTTAAATTCCTTTGAATTTCATTCGCTGTTCAGATTATTAATTTGGGATAATGAAATTTTTAATCCCTCAAATTTATCTTAGTTATCAATCTAGCCCCTTAAATTTAATTACACTTAGCAATTTGTAAAATTACATTCAATTTACTGCATAGTACATTGATAGAGTACCACGTGACTAGCATAGAATGTAGGGCACTTAGACAGCTAGAGGATGGAATTGAGGAGATGAACGTGGGACCTGGGCACAATCAACCAGTCGGGAACATGACTAGCATAGAAAGTGGAGATGAGGGGAGGGAAGGAAACAACTAGCACATCACTTTGAGGAGGTTCCACCACCACCACTTTAGCCACGACTGCATGATTTATCAGTGTTTAATTATTTAGTTATTGTATTTTCTAGCATTATAAATATTTTTGGTCGGTATAGGAGTAGTCATCGGGTGTTATTAGTCTCCTTGGCTGATAGAATTGGAAGAGTGAGATTCTCGCTCAACCCTTCTTAGTAGATTATTATTTAGTTGTGAACAATGAGGTTCATGTCAGACTTCATATAAATGCACAGGGCCAATGTTTATTACTAATTAATTATAATTGTATTAGTGTAAAGGCTGTGGTAAACTGTTTTCACTTTCTAAGCAACAGAGTCTAATTCAATAATGTTTATTACTAATTAATTATAATTGTATTAGTGTAAAGGCTGTGGTAAACTGTTTTCACTTTCAAAGGTTAGAAAGAGAAAACAGTTTACCACAGCCTTTACACTAATACAATTATAATTAATACCTTAGAAAGTGAAAACAGTTTACCACAGCCTTTACACTAATACAATTATAATTAATTAGTAATAAACATTATTGAATTAGACTCTGTTGTCTTTGTTGTTTCTTTCTGTAGCTCTTTGCGGGCCTCATCTATGAGGGGGAAAACAGTGCTTAATATGTCTTGTTTGAATGTAATCTTCAGGTGAAAGCAGCATGGCTGAACATACAGGGCCCTTCCTACTAGAGGATGTCGTGTCTTTGAAGGGGTTGGATGTAACTAATGACCATGGCCAGCAATCTGAACCTGTACAGTCTGCACCTGAACCTGTTGAAGCTTCACAAACCCCTGCTGTTCAAGAACGCAAGCCTGCTGATAAAAAGCTTGTCAAGCCGAAGTGGTTAAAAATGTGACATCAATTATTCATGGTTGAAGGGGCCTGCATTTGTTCTTTAGGGTAGCGATCATGACTTTGGGCGGTGATTGCTGCAGGGGAAATTCGCTTGTGCTTGATGTGGAACTATATATGGATTAATTAATGTTCCCGTGAGGCGGCTTTTTCATGTGGTTAAATTAACGTTACCTCTATGATTGTTTATGTTGAAGTGGGTACACAAGAACCTTCCTCAGTGTCTCGTGATGAATCCAAAAGCATGCTGCCTAGTTGCTTCTCTCTTCCATTTGTCAGTACTTTGTAGATAATTATCTGTAGCCCTGAGTGGTTTTCCTTCCTTCTGCTAATGTTGCATGCATCACAGAAGGTATCGACGCCTGAGACTTTTTTTTTTTAAAATGGTGAACATTCTCTAATGCAAGCATGGAATCTTGAGATGGCTGTTGCTTCTTGCTAATGCTATCCTGTAAGTTCGTCTGCTCTGTGGGCTTCTAGAACTCGAGAGCGTAAGGTATTGTTTCGCCTGCACGGATCAGGATATGCCTATTGTGTAGGTACCTGCACTTGTTGATGCCGAGTATGTTGCCTAGTTTAGTCATCTTTCTTGATGAACATTCTTGAGGAGAATTATCAGCCACATTGGCAGCACATGAAAACCCTGGATTTGTATTTCGTTTGCACAATGTTTGGATGCACAGGCATTTAGATTTGGATTTGGGTTAAATTTGTTGTTTAGATAATTAATGCATATATTTGGATTTGAAATTTGAAATTAATGTATAGATTTTCAAATTTAAGTTCTACCTTAAATTTTTTGTAATTTGTAAGTTGAAATTCTTTCAAAATTTTTATTTTAAATTTTATTGCAATCTCTTTGTAATTTGATTGGCTTGTCGGTGGTGTTGAATGAGACCAAATTGTCGACGGCAATTGGGACTAGACTACTAACATTGCCGACTGGGATTAAGTCATTGTTGCCGACTAGGAATGGATGGTTGACACCAACCAGGATTGGAAGATTGATTTTCATTGTGATCGAACTATCTACGCCAACTAGGATCAACTTCCATCGAGATTAAACTGTATGTGACAATTGGGACTGGAGTGCAAGCAACAACTATGTTGGGATTGGACGGTTGACTTTCACCAAGAGTAAATTGCTAGCATTGGTTGGGACAAGATTATTGGCACTAACCAAGACAGGATTGTTGGTGTCGATCGGGATTAGATAGCAGCTTGCAATCAGGATTTAATGGCCAACTCTCATTGTCACCAAGATTGGAACAATGACCTCAATTGAGAGTAGATTGCTGATAGTTTGATCTTGGTAGGTGCTTGCTATCCTATCTCAGTCGGTGCCTGCAATCTAATCTTGGTCGAGGTCGTTGTTTCGATCTCGATCAAAGTTGTTGAACTCAGCCATGGTGGGATTCGATCATTCGATCTTGATCATAGGTGGCTATCCAATCCTGGTTGATACTGGCAGTCATGTCCTGGTTGGTGCTAGCAATCCTGTACCTATCGGTGCTGACAGTTTGGTTTCAGTGGAAGTCAACTGTTTGATCCTGATCCACATTGGTAGTTAGGTCCTAGTTAGTACTAATGGTCTAGCCCTAATGGAAGTCGATTGTCTAGTCATAATTGTCATCGACGAACTAGTCTTGGTGGAAGTTTGTTTGTCGATCTCGATAGATGTTGGCATTCCAATCTAGGTGGAAATCGGTGATCCATATTGTCGACTTTGATAAGGATCGGACCACCATTGTTATTCAAATTACTTTTAAATTCAAAAATCAAAAGTATAATTTAAAATTTAAAATTTTTCTTAAGATCTAAACAAAGAATTTTAATATTATAATTTAAAATTTTTTATGTCATCTAAATAAAAAATTTAGAATTTATAAATTTCTAATTCAAATTCACTTAGCCAAGCATAGCTTTAGTTTCTTACAAATTTGCATCATATCGATATCAAAAGAGTGCGAGCATCGGATTCAATGTATTTATATCTGATTTTTTTCATAAAAAAAAAGTCTATTGCATGGGTTGTTCACTTTGACTAGTTGGCTTGTGCGTTAACATTCTGACGAAAATAATGTGCTCTGTTTGTGCCTATTTGAAACAGTAATAAGCAAAATTTATGTATTTAAATTTAGGGAAAATGACAATTAGGAACTCCCTGATGCCATTAATTACTATTAGAGATTTTAAATTATTAAAATTTTAATAATGGATCATGGTCCTGACTTGAAATTAAAAATATATATGAGCTTACAAAAATGCTTTCACTTGAAAAATAAAGAAATGAGACTGTTAAAATTACCATTATGAAATAAAAATATTATTAATCTTAGTTGAAACACCAAAAAATGATGGTTGAGAATGGATTATTTTTGAGTATAAAACTATAATTTCCTTTAGAAACTTTTTAAGAACACTCATGAATATACAATAATCATTTAGAAATTTATTAAAGTTATTTCTGAAAGGCATTTTAGTCTATCCATATTTTTTTAATTCTAAGTAAGGATCATGATTTATTGTTAAAATTTCAATAATTTTGGATCTCTAATTGTAACTAATGGCCTTGGATACCTGATTGTCAGTTTCCCTTAAGCTTATGTCCTTAATATATATTTTTTCTAATGTATTGTTGTCACTTGAATATTTTGTATAACTCATGAATTAACTCCCTGTCTTTTCCATCGTTAGCAATCAAAAAATGGAAAGAAAATTAATGAGCCCAATTTCTGTCCCAATCCCTGTCCTCGCTGCAATGTTCTGACCCTCATCCAATTAACTCATGTTGCCGCTGCAAGTTTTTGAGGACATCATTCTTCCCCTTCAATCGTTTGAGGATCCACAAGAATTGTTTCGGGGTAAAAGGGAATTGACAAATTCTCTTGTGTAGTGATTAGAACGAGTGAGAGGCTTGGGGTGTTTTTTCGTGTGAATATTGCATCACTGAGGAACAAGTGGTGAAGAGAGGATGCATATTGGTGACTAAATTGATGAGTGAATCACGGATACATTGGTGGGTGAACTTATCTGCTTATAATTTATTTAGTTTATATGTAAATAAATTTATGCTGCCACATGTTCTTGATATTTAATTTATTTATAGTTTTGTTTTGTCTTCCTAATACTATCAGTGTAAATTTTATACTGTCAAATACTTTTCTTTTCATTTTTTATTATTAATGGTATAAAACTCTATTAAAAGGATTAAAGGAGCGTTAAAATTTAGCAAATCACGTGCAATGTTCCTTTACTTGGTATGTCTTTTTTATTTTTATTTTTTTTATTTTTTAAATAATTATATACAAGCCAAGACAGCCAGCTCTAGGAATAGCCAGTAGTCCATCTCACATATAAATTTTGTAAACAAGTTAGCTTATATATGTGGGCCGCCTTTTTTTTTCCCCTTCAACGGGTAGGTCTTTATCAATCCAATTTGATTGAGTTTAAGTGAGTATTACTAAATTACGATGCATCTACATCAACTCAAACAAACTCATGTGATGGAGGAGTCCATTTTCAGGTAATAATTTAATTTAATTGATTGGATACTGTTTTTATGATGCTTATATTGGACAATATTTAATGCTAAATTAGTCCAAACTTGTAAGTTGAGCAGTCTATGCCTAATAAAATTTGAAATTTAAAGCTAGACTTGAGAAATGTAATTAATATACAGAAATATTGGCTATATTGTTAAATTTATATTTAAAGCATAATAAATACTCTTTTAAATTGTTAGAGTGTGGGCCAAAATATATATATATATATATATAAATCTTGTGAAGCGTACTTATTCACAAATAAGTTCTATAAAATTTAAAAACTTTAATCAAGTCTTTTGAAACTTGAATGTAATTTGAAATTAGATTGTAAAGATAATAATACCTTTATTAACATACATTTGTTCACCAATCAAATAATTAATTTATAACTATTTTATCAGCCATTTACAATTATAATTTTAATTTTTTTTAACTATAACTTCATATTGAATTTTCAAGGACACTGTTATGTTCATCCTTGAGGAATTGTTACCAGCTTTGAAAGGCATTTGTACACTCGTGAATATACACTGTTACCGTTGCGAGTTTTCGAGGACACCATTCTTCCCTCTCAATCGTTTGAGGATCCGCAAGAATTGTTTCGGGGTAAAAAGGGAATTGACAAATTCTCTTGTCCGATGATTAGAACGAGTGAGAAGCTTGGAGTGTTTTTTTGTGTGAAAATTGCATCCCTGAGGAACAAGTGGTGGAGAGAGGATGTACATTGGTGACTGAATTGGTGAGTGAATCACGGATACATTGGTGGGTGAATTTATTTGCTTATAATTTATTTAATTTATATATAAATAATTTTATGCTGTCACATATTCTTGATATTTAATTTATTTATAGTTTAGTTTTGTCTTCCTAATACTATGAATATAAATTTTATACTGTCAAATACTCTTCTTTTCATTTTTGATTGCTAATGGTAGAAAACTCTGTTAAAAGGAGTAAAGGAGTGTAATTCGTGAGTTGTACAAAAAACATCCAGTGGCAATAATATATTGGAGGAAAATACATTAACGACATAAGGTAAAGTATATGAGGTTTGCTCAAACAATAAAAAAACTATATTTTTTGATATATGATTCGGGCAACTAATATGATTTGCCTAATTAGTTATCGATGGGAAGATTAATTAGTCAAACGAAACCTAATCACACAACTAACTTTCTTATATGCAACAGCAGTAAGGGACAAGGACATGCCTTCGATCAATGGCATCTCATCCTGACACCTCGATACTCTGTATATATTAATAAATGATTCTTCGGATATAAAAAAAGTAACCTCAATTATTCATTCAACTTGTAAGGTGTCCACAGGGTTTAGGTTTATTGCATGATAGTCAAAAAAATGATCGATGCAATGACGAGTCAGGTGGAAAGATTTGCAGTTGTGGCATTGATCCATCAATGAATCCAAGCATGAATTGAACACTGAATTGATACTTAAGGGATTGAAATTGAAATTGCTAATATCTGTGTGCCGCGTTCACTTGTTGAAATTATATAATTTTTGTTACCGAAAAAATCTTGAAGAAGACAACGAATAACGGAACCCTCCTAAGGTGGTGTTTGAGGTGACGATGACGTAAGTGATTTGTGGCAATGAAGAAAACAAGGACGGTGTTGCCTGTTGGTGGGGGCAAATGAGAGAGAAGAAGGAAAACCGAAGTTGTGGGCCTGTGGCATTGGAAGATATATGGGGGAGTCACACTGCGGCCTCAAAAGAATAAAAAATTATACTGCAAATTTAATATATTTTATTATTATATTGCAGGCTCAAAAGTCATTATTATAATTTTCTTTAAGAGTGGAAGTATAATTTTACTCTTGTATGATTTAAAAGCTTAGATCATGCACAGTACAATTTTTATTAATGCACAATATAATGTCCATGCGTGTCTAATTGATTAATAAATTTAATAAAATATATAAGTGATACACATAACATACAACATGATATCTATGAATGTACAACACAATATTATGTATTCTTAACTAAATGTCTATGCGTGGACTCACATAGATATCGTGTTGTGCATCCATAAATATCGTGTTGTACATGCTCTACGTGACTTTATTTTAATTAACATATAAATTAATTAAATATGCATAGATATTGTGTTGAGAATTCACAAATATCTTGTTGTGCATCCATGAACATTATGTTGTATATGGTCTGTATGATGTATATTTTAATCTACAGGTCAATTAGATACATATAAATATCGTGTTGTGCATCCATAAATATTGTGTTATACGTGATCTGAGTTTTGAAATTACATAATAGTATAATTATACTTTCACTTTTAAGAAAATTTGCAACAAAAACCCTTAAATCTACAGTGTAATATTAGAATGCATTGAACTTAAAACTAAATTCTTTTACTGTTTTAAGACCTGCAATGCGGTTTGCCCAAGATATATTTGGAGAAAGATGAAGTTGGTACCTGGTACCTGTGAATCGTGACAGTGCCTCACATGATCTTTGTACTTGTCCGTCCTCGTGGATACTAATTAGGAACAAGCCTATAGAGTCCTTCCTCATCCTCAATTGTGCTCTTCCATTCCATCAACGCGTTGGGAAGTCAATTACTGTCCATTATTTATTCTTAATTAAACTGTTGCTCCTCGTTTACGTTTCTATCTCTTGCTGCTTCACTTGTCACTGCATCGCACCCTTCTCCTTCCACCATCGTTAAAACCATGAGCTCCAGCCCAATATATAGCAATTAATTGTTTCCTCTATTTTTTTAATTTTTGCAACATTTTAAATTCGTGGATATATATGATGATGATAATTCCAGCAGTCGAAATAGTATTTCGATAAAATAAACTCGCCAAGAGTCGGTGAAAAGTAAAGTTTAATCAACATAGACAAATAAAACATTCTCAAACATATTATATGTGCATGAATTTGTGTGATGAGAAAGTTTAAATAATTTTTATCGTTACTATTAAATTAGATTGCAAGCCCATGCTTTGCACACAGTTGAATTGCAATGTTTGTGATGAACTTGTTCCGGCATAACGATGCATGCACATAGGGATGTGATCATGTGAATAAGCATATATACCATCGAGTGGTACAGTGCACAATAATTGTTTTTTTATCTTCATGCTCTTGCACAGTAGACATTAGTTGAAATTTTGTTAGTAATTATATAAGCACAGCTAACAATTATAACTACCCCCGGAGTAGGTAACTAGCTTGACTGGCAGATGCACCTGCATGTGGCAAAAATAAATTCACCAACAATATGGAAATGAAAAACCTTATTCCTCTCGTCTAAATAATATTTTTTTATATCCTATATTAGGGTAGAGAGCAGGTTTTTTTATTATGTTTATAAGTTACGTTAATAAACTTCTGTTAAAATTATTTTTACTCTATGTTAAATGTTGAATGTTAAGTTGAAAAGGAAAAATATATTATTAAATAGTACATATTTAATAGGGATAGAGTTAAAAATTTATTAAATTTTTGCAAATTTCATAAGTTTTAATTTTTTTCATTAATATTAGTGAAATATGTTAAAAATGATAAGTAATTCGAAGTAAAAAAAAAAAACCTCCACATTTTATAAACTATGGAATTTCATATGATTCATAAGATACATACCTGTAATTTTTACACTAAAACTTTAACTGCCGCAGCTATGTTAATTGTAGGATAACTTTACTTTTAATACTTTGATAAGTTTTGTAAATTCTGAAATAAATTAAATTTTTAATTTTCAATTGAAAGCGGAAAAAACTGAAATAAAATTAAAACATTTTTAATTGGAAAATAAACCTTGGTCCTCAATGCCTTAATCTGATGGCCCTTGGTCAGTTTTGGGTGCCCACGGGCATCCCTATTTATATTTAATTGAATAACCGTATATCTCATTGTGGCGGCTAAGGAGCTACGGCTCATTTATTAATTTTGTTGCCTAATTATATTATATTTGATTTTAAAAGTCAAATATTGCGAGACCTCCACCACACCCTGTCGCACATTGCATGGGTCCGCCTCCAGGGACTAGGGACCAGTCTGTTTATGAGGATAAATTTATGTGTAATTAAAAAAATCCTTATTTATGATTTTTTACATGTAATATAAAAAAAACAAAAGAATGTGCAATATAAAAAGATACGCGGAGTTAGATCCTCGAGCTTTAGGAAAAGCATATGGTAGAAGATATGTATAAGATTTTTTTTTTTTTAATACAAGGCCACGGGAATTCGTGCTGGAGTGTTACAAATCAGAACATATCAGATTTTAGGTGGGATCTGCATCCCGACGGTGGATGATTAAAAAGATGAGATCTAAATTATCTTGAGTGGTGTGGTGAGCGAGAAAATCGGCACAGCTATTCGCTTCCCTAAAAAATGTGGTCGAAAGTAATGATCCAATCTCTCATGACAAGATCTTTAATTTTATTGATAGTTCAGAGAGAGGATGATTGTCAGAAAGATTATGCGAAATGAGCGAGAGGCCTTTCATAGAGTCAGAATGTATGTTGATATTAAAAACTCACATATTTCAACAAAGCTAGAGTCCATCAAGAATGGCTAAAAGTTCAGCCGTGATGCTGGAGTGGTAGCCAAGATGTGAATTCTATTTATGTTTTTTTTTCTTTTTTCTGGGATCAAATTCCTATCTGTATTCGATATGCGTTCATTAATTTCGATTGCCAAATCCTGGATGTCGCGTCGTCGCTGTTCTTCAAGAAAGTCGAACTCCTTTTTTCTTTTTTTATTGTTAAAAAGAAAGTTGATTTTATTTATTTTATACATGTTAGTTAATTAAGTTAATATAAAAGATGTTTGCAAGTCGTCCTTTTCGCTGCAACAAACTGAGGGACTTCTTGCAATTATGATATCACGCTCGTCAAAGATACTATTGCTATATTCGCTTCGAACTGCCCCACACCTTCCAGTATTTTGCACATTAAGACCATATACTTTTTCAGTTTTATGGCCTGGTCCCACTTTCCTTCCTCAACAGAACTTGTAAACTCGGTAAGATATTTCATTTGTCGTTTTGAATAATTGTTGGCAAATGCGTGTTTTTGTTAAAAAAAAAAAATTAAGTCAAGTTTCATTTTGATATAAATATTTCATTTCAATCCAGGGTAACATAAAATTTTAAAAAATATCTATTAGTGCCATTTTGTTCTCAGTGTCATATAAGCCTTATTAGTAGAAGTGTCGTTGCGGATTGGATGGTCCAAAGACTCTGAACGACGACAATGGAGTAGAATGAGAGTAGTCACTGAGGCTCACCTTTTCTAACAAAAACTTGCTTTCCACGATAAATTTCATCATCATTTTCCAACCTATCAAATCTCATCACAGTTATTTTGGCCAAAAAAAAAAACTTATCATAATTAAACAACGCATTGCCGTAAATGTTTAATGTAACATCTTGCACTTGAATTATTTTGATTAATGCAATTTTGGAAAAAGTGGTAATAGTTGATAGATGTTGTTTATTTCTCTTTCCTTTATATTTTTTTTTTGCCACATCTTCCCCTCTTTTATTTGAAGCAGATCAAAGTTGTCAGTATTCATGCATATCTCATTATTTTAGACAATCATTTTCTTTCATTGGACAAGATATAATACTCTCAGTCCTAAATATAAGAACTAACTAAAAGATTTGATTTGACTTTAAATCTACGAATTCAATTTCCCTATCTTTTATATATTTTCAAATCATCGTATTAATTTTGTACATGTTAAAAGAGGTTTCAATGTTTTGTCACTAGGAAAAGTTTTCAATAAAATCGGGGTACATTTTTACCAAAAAAAACTTAATTATTTTGTAATTTATACAAATTAGTTTGCTAACTCATGCATTTAATTAAGACCAGAGTGAGTAACATGATCTCAATGAGGTTGTGTAATTATATTGTGGTTTAGAGAAGTATAAGAAGTTGGCCTATTGTGATTTCTTACACTTCTTCTTTTTCTTCTTCTTTTTTTAAAGAAAGCTTAGATGAAGTTAGGTAAGGGTGGCAAAGTACTTGCGGGTTGTTCTCTAGCAAGGTTTCAATGTTTTGTCACTAGGAAAAGTTTTCAATAAAATCGGGGGACATTTTTACCAAAAAAAAACTTAATTATTTTGTAATTTATACAAATTAGTTTGCTAACTCATGCATTTAATTAAGACCAGAGTGAGTAACATGATCTCAATGAGGTTGTGTAATTATATTGTGGTTTAGAGAAGTGTAAGAAGTTGGCCTATTGTGATTTCTTACACTCTTCTTCTTCTTCTTCTTTTTTTAAAGAAGCTTAGATGAAGTTAGGTACGGGTGGCAAAGTACTTGCAGGTTGTTCTCTAGCAAGGTTTTTAAAACGACAATGAAATTTGATCCTGCAAATTTTATAGATTATAAGTCAAATTCCTTATCAAGTGGATTAACATCTCTGGTTCTGCCGTTTCTTCCTTTCTGGCCCCCAACCGTCTCCTTAAATGCATGCGTACGAAGTAGGAGCGACAGCGAATAATTTGCACAAAAAGCGGGGCACAAACATAAATAAGAAAAGATGCGTTGAAAACGAATTTCCAACAGCATCGCCATTCTGCGGCGACCGTGCAGACTTCGGGTTCAGGCCGAATGACGCACAATGACCAATGACCAAGGAGAAAGTTGTTGAGCCCATCAACTACCTCTGAGCTGAGCCTTAAAAGGGATACCCAGCTTCTAAATCCTCGTGATTTGCTCTTATTTCTCTCATCAATTCAGTTCTATTCCCGCCAAGTTCGCATCATTAGGTACTTTCTTCAGTTCTTCTTCGGCTTTAATCTCTCTCTTTCTTTTCTGCCCTTCCAGTTCTCCTTGTGGTCTAGTTTAATTTTGATCATGGGTTTGATCTCACGGAGTCAAACTTGTTGATTGTCGTTTCTGGGCGGCTTTCATTTTTTTGAAAGATATCTTTTGATTTGACATGCGTTACGAGCCTGGATAGATTTGCCTCTTTGTCTTGTGATCAATTTTAGATCCAAGCAACAATATCCTTTCCGCTTGCTTTATTGGAAAGTATGATTCTTGTGTTGCAGCCTCTTTTATTACCATTTTTGTATTGTCTTGTCGCAAACTTGTGGCAAGCTTTTCATTCACCTCTGATTTTTCAGGATGATGTGCACAGTCTGTTGTGCTAGTTCTGATTGCCCATCCATCGGCCTTTTCAATATCTGTCATTTCTGTTTCAGTCTGGGGCTTGGGCACTTATCATCATCATTGCCTTGCAATTTAGTTTCTGTTATCAATATCAATATAGGATATTTAGTTATTTATTTACTGCTGGTGTAATTTGACGCAGACAAAATCTGCTGCAGATCATACCGATAAATTTCGAAGTTGTTCTATCCTTCTGGTTCTGCTAGTTGTCAGAAGATGGGATCAAGTCAATGGATTGTCGAAAAAAGATCTAGCTTTAGAAGTGATTCCCTTCCAGGAGACATAGAAAATGTACCCGAAACTGGGCCTCTCTCCATCGCCGTGCTTGGTGCTTCTGGTGATCTTGCTAAGAAGAAGACATTTCCTGCACTTTTCCACCTATATCGCCAGGTTTACTAGCATCTGATTTATGAATCATACACTAAATCGTTGTTTATCATATTGATAATCCTTAACCAAATGGATCTGTGTTTCAGTGATTCTAATCAAGTAGTTTTCTTTCAAATTTACATTTAATGGAAGACTACCTGTAATTTTTTTTTTTTTGACGGCCAGAAGTTTCTCTTCCATAACCAAGAACCAGGGTTAATTTTTCTTTTGATCTTTGTGGCCTTATTTGCAGGGGTTCTTACCACCAAATGAAGTTCACATTTTTGGCTATGCAAGGACAAAAATCTCTGATGATGAATTGAGAAACCGCTTACGTAGGTAAGGTATTTTACTGATAATTTTAAAATGCCCGCCACGCCCCCCCCCCCCAAAAAAAAAAAAACATTTCTCATAAAATAATGTCATTTGGAATTCAGTCTATGCTACATCTCGATTATTGAGAGAATCTTTTTGTGAAAAAAAGTGCAATTACAATTTTATTATTGTTCTTCAGATTATGCAAATAATTATGTATATTTCTTGGATCCTCACCTTTAAATTCCCTGAAACAATTTAAAGAGTAGTTTTACAATATTTTGTACCGATTTGCTTGATTCTCTGCTTTCACAAACCTTCTTATTATTTTGTGGTGCATCTTACTGTTTCTTGATTTCATCCTTGAGCGCTTCAAATGCTTATGAGTGTAAGAAATTTTGATCTGATGCAGCTATCTTGTTAAGGACAAAGATCCATCCCCTGAGCAGTTGGATGATGTTGCAAGGTTTTTGCAACTAGTAAGCACACTTTTCTAATTTATAGAATCTTTTTAATTTTCTCACTAATTATATAAAGCACTCTTCTCATTGTCTAATGTTCACTTTCTCTTTTCCTCTTCGTTATAGATCAAATACGTAAGTGGATCTTATGATTCTGAGGATGGTTTCCGCCTACTGGATAAAGAGATTTCACGACAAGAATGTTCAAAAAATAGCGTGGAGGGTTCATCTCGAAGGCTTTTCTATCTTGCACTCCCTCCTTCAGTATACCCTTCTGTTTGCAGAATGATCAAGCGTTGTTGCATGAATAAATGTATGATTGTATAATCTATGGTTGCCACATGTACGATCAACATGATTTTTTTGGTGACATAAAAGCTTTTCTTTTTTTGTTTGAGGGCGCGGGGAATGAAACTTTCAATGCCCTAGTTTGGCATCTGTTGAAAACCTTGAATAAATTTAGGGAAGCTATTCTGATTTTCTGCCAGATCCTTTTCTAGGTTTCTTGGTAAATACTGGATGTCAATTGAAGTCAATACCATGTATCACGTAGCTGCTTCTAATGTTTAAGTGTTGGATAGATTTTGGTTTTGCAAGTTTCGGACAGATTTTTGGGGAAAAAGGTACATGTTCCTTAGATAGCTAGCTTCAACAGAACTGATCTTAGAGCTTCTAGTTTCTTCTTAGTCTCTCCCTTTCGAACAAATACATACTAGAGCTTTTTGTGACTTGAAAGTGGCATATTTCCTTTTCCTTTTTCTTTTCCTTTCTTTTTTTCTTTTTCCTTGAAAAAGCATCTGATGTGTTCTATGATGGCTTCATCTACTTCCATCTCTTAGCTGATCTTGGAGGATGGACCCGTGTTATTGTTGAGAAGCCTTTTGGCAAGGATCTACAGTCTGCTGAGGAACTCAGTGCCCAGATTGGAGAGTTGTTTGAGGAACCACAGATTTACCGTATTGATCACTACTTGGGAAAGGAATTAGTGCAGAATATGGTAATAAATTAGTATATAATGGTTTGCTTCTTGTTCTTTCCCTGAACTTTTCTAATTCCTTTTTATTTCACTTATATTGGCAGTTAGTACTTCGTTTTGCAAATCGGTTTTTCTTACCTCTTTGGAATCGCGATAACATTGACAATGTTCAGGTGAGTGTTCTTTTGTCGAGGGTACATCAATAGATCGATAATCATCTGTAATGATTTTGAAATTAAGGCAGGTTTTGTGCAGTGTGCTTGACAATTAACAGTCTCTCTAATCACGTCTAACTATTTTTTTGCCTTGTCAAAGTGTGCTTTCCTTTTACTTTTGCCTAATTCAGCTAAGATATTTGCAAGTATATGATACCAATTTTAACTTGGATACTTGGATGTTGGTTCTGTGGCAGATAGTTTTCCGTGAGAATTTTGGAACTGAAGGTCGTGGTGGATATTTTGATCAGTATGGGTATGTGTGGTGAATTGTCCCTAATTAATTTGCTTAAGATGTTGTCAAATGACAAGTTATGGCAACTATCAGTTCTGAGATGAAGAACATTAAGAAAACAAGTCTTGAGTATTTCAATTTTATTTTCATATCAAATATTGAGATCAGGCTTCTAAATGTTATCTCAAATGCCTGCTGTTATTTGTGTTGTTGACTTGTTTTGTATTGAATAGCTATTTCATGGCTAAAACTATGACTAATTAATTCATGACTTCTATTTGACAGGATTATTCGAGATATTATTCAAAACCATCTGCTGCAGGTGAGGCTTTCATATTAACTGAAAACAAATTTCATTTATGTTTCTGCTACCACCAAGTTAGATTGTCAAGATGATACTTCTGTCCAGCAAGTGAATGTAATAATATTACATATATTTCCTCCTATTCTAAGTTTCAATCTTATTTTTAAAGCATTAGTGCACTTAGCCACTTACATTGCATTATCTTATCTATGAGGTTCCACAACCTTGTTAGATCATAAATTTGTGTATGTTGATCATTAATTTTCTACCTGCTCAGGTTTTCTGCTTGGTCGCAATGGAAAAACCTATTTCTCTCAAGCCAGAGCACATTCGTGATGAGAAAGTGAAGGTGTGTGTCTGTTCATTCTATTTAAAATGGGTCTCTGTGTTCCTCTATCCTACTTACTAGTTACTATGTTGAGTGCAGGTTCTTGAATCAGTCCTTCCTCTGAAAGATGATGAGGTTGTTCTTGGACAATATGAAGGCTACAAGGATGACCCAACTGTACCTGACCATTCAAACACTCCAACATTTGCTACTGTTATTCTGCGAGTACACAATGAAAGATGGGAAGGTATGAGAGAAATTCCTGCTTTTGTTTCTGAATAAACCCAATTTTTTGGACCTTTCTTTTACTTATTTTTTCTAAATGATGTGGATAAATATTGCAGAGATAACCCATATTCATTTTAGTGTTTATTTTCCATTCTATGGTATAGATCTTTGTTCATTTGATCAATCAAATAACATTTGATACATCTTCACACCAAACTTTTCGCTCAGGTGTTCCTTTCATTCTAAAGGCAGGGAAGGCCCTAAATTCAAGTAAGGCAGAGATACGGCTTCAGTTCAAGGATGTTCCCGGTGATATTTTCAAGTGTATGTCACCAGACCTTTGGATATTTGGGTGAATTTTCTTGGATACAAGCTTTTTCATGTATCTTATGTTATGAACGCTTAATTGATCTTGAGCCTGAATGTGGAATCAGAGAAATCATAGAACCCATCACTCTGAAAGCTATGATACTTCCGTGGAGCACATGTTTTCATTTTGGTATCCATAGTATTTTCATGAATGCACGGACTATCCTTGTGCTATTGAAGCATGAACTGAAACTGTCAGTGGGTGTTGCGATAGTTATTTTCAAACATATTTCATGCACTAACTTGTCTGTACATTTAAGTATGTCATGCTGGTGAAAATTTAAAAGTTTAAAGGCGTTGGTCATCTTTATAATCCATGAACAGAGAGGTGACAAATAGAGCTGCTTGTGCTTTTTACTAATCGTTAGGTAGGTTTTATTCTTCCATGTTGGCTTAGGCATAAACCTCAATGTAAAATTTTTCAGGTAAAAAGCAGGGCAGAAATGAGTTTGTTATACGACTGCAGCCTTCAGAGGCTATTTACATGAAGCTTACGGTGAGTCATTCTTTTTTGATAACTTGTTATAAGAATAATTCTACCGATTCCAATAACAGTGAACTGACTGGTTCATTGTCTCTTGTAGGTCAAGCAACCTGGGCTGGAGATGTCAACTGTGCAAAGTGAACTAGACTTGTCATACAGGCAGCGTTATCAAGGTGTCACCATCCCAGAGGCTTACGAGCGTCTAATTCTCGACACGTACTATCCTTTATCCAAAGTTCATGTTTATGCACTGTTAATCTATTTTTATGCATAACACAGACGTGCAAAGTTCCCCCAAGCTTAGACTACTGGAGTACTAGGATTTAGTCAATAAAATTTTTGGCTTATAATGGGAATCTGTATTTGTTTTTCAGAATAAGAGGAGATCAGCAGCATTTTGTTCGAAGAGACGAGTTGAAGGTAAGATCATCGCATGAGTTGTTTTGCTAATACTGCAATAAAAGAGATTTTTGAGTCCTGATTCTTGATTCCTAACCTTATATCTACTGTTTTGTTCTGTGTGTGATATTAGTCATCGTGGGAGATATTCACGCCACTTCTGCACAAAATTGATGAAGGGAAGTTCAAGTCAATCCCTTACAAACCAGGAAGCAGAGGTCCTGCAGAAGCTGATGAGTTGCTTGAAAGAGCAGGCTATGTTCAAACACACGGTTATATATGGATCCCACCCACCTTATAAAGTGCACATTTTGAGGCTGTTCTGGGGCTTACACAACAATAAGTTTTATAATGTTGTATTATGAAGCGACTTTCTTGTATTGTGTGTGTGTTCATAAAAAGCAGGCGAATAAAATTTACAAGAGCTTGACACAGTTTGTATGGCGTGAGAATCAGCTGATTAAGTAGTTGCCTAAAACTCTCACTCAATCCTAATAAAACTCAGTTTCTTACTGATCAACAGCTTTGCTACTGTCTTCCATATTCTTGTAATCTCCAACTCAACATGGTTATTTGCTTGGGAAAATTACATCTAGGTTTCACAAAAAAAAATTTATTACTAAGAGGTTTTATAAAATTAACAAAATACTCCTAAGAATTTGCAATTTGATAAAGAGCATTTACAATTTATGAAGGAAAATGATAATTTATAACAGCAAGCTGTAAATGTCTGCGGTCTAGTAGTAAACACACAGAATTTTAAATTTTAGAGTATTTTGTGAATTTCATGAGATTTTTTGATGATAAATTTTTTTTCTGTAAGACCTAGATGTAATTTTCTTATTTTCTTTTAGTATTTCAAGAATAGTTCAATTTGATGAATGGATAAATGAAATATTTTTTTCAAGCATCAAATTAGACTTTTTAACCTTTAATGTGAGGAAAATATAAAATGAGTTAAAAACGAAAATAAAAACTGCACGAGACTCAAACAAATTTTTCGAAGAGCACTTCTTGTAACTTGTATAGATACAGTGATGGTGATTGAGGATTTTATAGGGACCATGAATATTTTTGGCAGCATTACGAGTTTTATTTTGCCATGATCAATATAAACAGAAACGTTTGCATCAATTCCTCACTCTGTTTGCTGGCCGGGCACCAAGAAAAGAAAAGGAGACTTTTGAGCTTGAGAAGACCGAATGAGTAAGAGGAGAGCTTTCAAGGTCAACAGTGATATCCGCCAGACTTAAGTGCTAAGTCTGCCTCAAAGTGACGAGTAACTTTTAAACAGAATCATAATCAATCTTCTTAATGAATGCTACTCTGTTTCTGGCTAATCGAGAATCGTCATCTATCATTAACATAAATAAATTATATGGCTCGCCTGCTTGGTTGTTGTAATATTTTATATATTGACATGACTCATCTTGTCAATTAACACGATTTATCTGTGACCTCCAATTCAAAAAAATAATAATAATAAATTATATGAAAAATCACGACTTTAGGATAGATGTAGTTCCAAGTCTTTCTGGCTTATCTCTGTAACTTCGCCAGATACTTGTACAAGACAATTCAAGGTCTGCTGAGGAGAATTATATTTTCCCATTTAAAACAAAAACTATGCCAGTCTATTAATAATTCACGATAAATGTTTACGTACGATCTATATCTACCTTTATACTATACATTAATAATTTCCTTTTTCTATACAACTAAATTTTAATTTTAATTTTCTTATATTTTTTCATAATGTATTTTGCTATAATTTTTAAAATTTTGAGCTGCTCACAATGAAAATGTTAAAATATACTTTTAATCATCTAATTTTATATAAAATTTTAATTCAATTTCTTAATTTTATAAAATATTTTTTAAATCTCTTAATCTTAACATCATTAGTTTTATAAACAAAAAATTCCTATATCAAACTTTTAAATGTTGATATAATATTTTTAAATATTGACATATTAAATTTAATTTTTTAAAATAATAGTGATTAGTATAAACAATAATTATTTAAAATTAATGGTGTTAAGGTTAAAAGATTAAAAAAATATTTTATAAAATTAAAGGATAAAATTTTTTTAAAAAAATTAAATGATTAAAAGTATACTTCAACCTAATAAAAAATAATTATTAAAAAATCAGTCTATTAAGAATGTAGGCCTGTACTTTATATTATCATTATCATTATCAATGTTTTATCAAAAAAAAAAAAGATCATTATCATTATATTAATTTTTTTAAAAAAATTATAATTAAGTTCTATATAAAAAAATTAATTATTATAAGACCTACCTGCTAAATGTCATTGACAAGTAATTCTCTCATTTTTTTGGACCAAATCATTATATTAACTTATGAATAATATAATTATACGAGGCTATACTAAATACATTAAATACTACATTAGACACTTAGACTTTTAGCTAAGTTTTTTTTTTAAAGAAAAAACTGTTAACAACATATGAATGTTGCATTTTTTATATAAATATACAAATACAAAAAATATGACGAAAATACGCGGTTAAAAGACGGTTAATATACCGACCTCTGTGATTTCGGAGAAGCGATAACAAAAAATTATGGAAATGATGAAGGGATTGAAAGTCAATCCAATCTAATCCGAAGGCCATAGTCACGAACTCGAAATCTTTGATTGGCTGCTTTCTCAATCGCATTTGTTCCTACTCCTACACGCGTCTCTCTGTTTACTCACTTCTCGACCCGCCTCATTCTCCCTCCCTTTCTCTCTCCTATTTTTGAGCTTAAATTCTCCGTGCCTTCCAAATTCCAATTCCCTCTCTTCCCTCACATTTTGCTCTACCTCCCTCCCTCCCTCCCTTCATCCTCTTCCCTGGATTGTGTTGTTGCATGAGTGGGGTGGGTCAAACCCTACATTCTCCTGTCCAAACCATTTTTTCTGCTAATCTTGTATCTCTCGCGGCAAATCCAACTTCCCGAACTCTCTTGCTATTCTATACTTCCCTTTTATGGCGTCTCGATACTTTCTGCAAACTCTAGATCTAGGAATGAATTGATTAGGTCCCTTACCTTCCTTGCGCTCGTCATTATTCTCATCTCTTTGTAGCTTCGTATCTTCTTTTCCGCCATATTCTATTTGTTCGTTGCGTTCGAGGTGTGATTTTTTGTTTTCCCTTCAACCCAATTGGAAAACTGAAAGCATGGGTATTGCTGATTAGGCTGCCCAGATTCAGGAACCATGCATTTAGTGTATGTTGGCCGGGTGAAAAAGGGTCTCTTGTACCGTACATAATTGGGTTTTCTGTTTTTCCTGGGCAGAAGCATCTATCCGCATCGAAATGGGGTTTTCCTTTGGGCTTATAATCTTGTAATAGGGTTTCGGTGGAATTCCGCTTAGGTGCTGAGACTATTATTAGAAAATGGCTCTGAATTTTTCCTGTGATTTGAGCTTTCCGGCTTCGCCGGAGAAGAGTACGTATCGGTCAATCGGGCCAGTCGTCGATGGCTATTTGCTCAAGAAATCTGGTTGTTTTGGTAATTCTTGGAGCTTTTGTAGTTTCAATAAGGCATTGGAAGATAACCCATGTGATGAATTAGTCAATGCTGATTTGGGGGATTTCGATGACCCGGCGGCAGTGGTAGTTGATGATATTCTTGATCGCTTGCCCAGGGATCCATTTGGCATGAACATAATAAAGTCTACCTTCCCAGAAATCTCGGATTGGATTCAAGATTTTGATTGGCATTTCCCGTCAGAGTATGATGTCTTTGGGGCGGATGAAACCCATACAAAGATTGACTGTAAACTTTTTGCGGATCTATATTGGGGTTGGAATGGTGCTGGTGCTGGTAGTTTCCCTTCCGGAGGCAACGACGATGCCAATGAAATGTCTGTTTCAGATCAAGTTTTCGACAGATTTCAGATTTTTGATTGGTTGTTTGATAGCGGCCTCGTATCAGATGGAAATGTGGAGACGCTTTTACCAGCTAGTCACGAAGACAGCAGCGTTTCGAGCGGTGAAGCTGAAGTGCAAAATTCAACCAAAATTGATTATGATGGTGAAGCAGGTAGTCCACATGATGCTATGCGTTTGGTGTTGAATTATCTAGGTGTCACGGACCTTCTTTCAGTTGAACAGGTTTGCACTTCTTTGCGTGATTGTGTTAAAGCTAATCCTCTGTTATGGTGGAGTATACACATAGATCAGTCATTGAGTTTGAAGATTACGGATGGTATACTGGTTAAGTTAACTAACAGGGCTCAAGGCTTTCTTCAATCCTTGACCCTGGTTAATTGCATAAGGATCACAGACAGTGGTCTGAGACGTGTTCTTCAAAGCAACCCTAGACTAACAAAGGTCAGTATTTGTAACGTGATCTCAAACCTGACATGTGCTTGTTTATTATCTGAAGATTTTCCATTGTCACTCACTTTCAATATATCTGTTTATTGTGTAGGATGTCCAGTTAGAATTGTGTGCTAAACAAGTGCATGCAATTAGTCTTTTTCTTTGTTTCTTCTCTTGATCTTCAGCTATAAAAGAATTGCATTATTGTAGTAGGGTTGATCCAATCTGAATCATTTATTGAAGACTTGAGAATATCAGAAAAAACAAATTATGTGCTTTTGAGAGATGTGATGATTAGAATCTTTATACATGGTGCTTTTATAATTATTTATCGTGAGGATAATGATCTGCTCGATCAATTGCCACATCAAATAAAGGCAATGTAAGCATAATTGAATCTTTGCATAGGTTGATATAGGAAAAAAATGACAATTGAAGATGCTTTGACTTGCGTATATACTATTTATTTCTACTGATTTTCTGTGAGTGCAATCAGTCTATACTCTATCATATATTTTGCAGCAACTCTTCTGTCTTTGTGCTTATTGTTTTGATATCATATGATTCTATACAAATATATCTTATATCATGGAATAAATATGTCCGTCTCTATTTAAGTGAGGAACTTAGACATGTGTTTTTCCCTCTTTCAGCTAAGTGTCCCTGGTTGTGTTAGACTGACTGTTGAAGGGATTTTAATCCAATTGAGGGCCCTAAAGTCATCAGGGAAACCTGGGATAAAGCACATAGAAATTGGTGGGATTCCTAATGTAACAGACAAGGATTTTGAAGAGTTGAAGTTCTTACTAGATGTGGACAGGTATTTGCAACAGAGAGTGCAGAGGCCACGATTCTACCAGGGATGGTATCCGTATGCCTTGGACACCTTGTGTGATGATGACCGTGCAATTGACATAGAGCTCTGTCCTCTATGCCAGAGGCCAAGACGTGTCTATGATTGCCCTGCAGAGAGTTGCCAACAGAAACAACAGGCTTCTCAGTTGTGTAGGGGTTGCTTGGCGTGCATAGAACGGTGCATCCATTGTGGAAAGTGCATTAAGGATCTTGAGTATGAAGAGACATTCTGTCTGGACTTGCTTTGTTTGAATTGTTGGCACCAGCTGGTGAGTTTTCCAGATGAGCCTGTTGGAAAGAATTCTTCCAGGCACACTGTTATTAGTCCAAGGACTATGTATAAGTTTTGTAAATTGTTTGAACCAGAATGTGCAAACTCGACTATGCCTGGCGCAAGCAGCGATATATTTGTAGATTGCTTGAACCAGAATGTGCAAACTCAGCTGTCTGGATCTTGAATGCAGAAGTCGAACCAGTTATGGATGAAAGTTACTTCTGTTAAGGATTCTGGCCCTCCTGTGCTAACTGACCATTGCATAGGATGATTGCAAAGTCAAGTCATATAAAGGTTCAAGCTTCACATTTTTGAGGAACACAAACATCTATGAGATGGCCAGTCTTGACCCTGATAAATTGGCCTTTTGGGATAAGTATCGGGAGTCGTTGCATAACTCCACTGCAATGATGCCATCGATTAGCTGAACAATCTTCTAGTATTCATTGAAATGATACACACTTACCAACAGTCAATAACATCTAAAGTGCGAGGGGACTAAATTTCTTCAGAGCTGATCTCCTATTGTATCATGTGCAAATTGTTGAACTGTCTGCAGATGGATCGCTTTTAACTGCTCAAGACAGGAGGAAGAAAGAAGATTTGATGATTCTGGAGGGAAATGAGAAATTATATTCCGTTAAAAGAAAAAGAAACAGAAATGATAATTTAATGTAGTTGTGGAGTAGACGAGACGCTGGCTTATGGCCTTTACTGAACTAGAGCAACTTGATGCGGAGCTTTCTGCAGGAAAAAGTTGCGTGAGAGAGTTCACTGACGTGAAGAATGTGTAGTTCTTGAAGATCAGCGTATTCATGTTGCTTGTGCACACCCATTCTCAGCAATCCCTTCGCGACAAGTTGCCTCCTGCAATGGAAATCATCTCGAGTTCATCGGAAGAATACAAATGTGTGTTGCTGTGGTTCAGTGCAATGATGGCTGGAGTGGGACTCTCTGAAGGACGGCAACTGCATGACGTTGGGTTTCGAGCGGGGAGAATTGTGCTTGTTGGAGGTGTTGCTGTTGATGTTGCCTGTAATTGAAGATAAACCGGAAGAACATATTAATGTTGCTCTTATCTGTGGTTGTGTAATAAATGAAGCAAAATCATACGATTGACACTTGGGACGTGTACCTTTTCCTAAGATACGTTCATCGTTGAGCTCGGAAACCATCAATTAGCTACGGTATCTTTTCTTTCAGCAGGAAATTTAGGACGTAAGTGCGCAGTTGCCATGTTGCTTTACTTCCAACATCTTTTATTCATGATATATTGGGTTTTCTGATGCTTCTAACGTTCATCTGTCAAAGAGGGGAAATATGACTTACTTGAATTTTAGTCCTTTAAGATTTTTGTGAGATTTAGAGAAATTTACTTACAGCGCTAGCAAAGCAGAACTACATTTGTATTTATTAAATAATTTTTAGAATTAATTTGTGGAAAAATTAATCTATTTTGGGGTGCCTTTATCTCTTGCTAGCTTCTAGTTTGACGCGAGCTGGTGTTTTCAATTAGGCCGAACGAAAATTGGAAAATACGTCTATAGGATTTTTTAGATTTCTAGAATTTGTAAATTGAATTTTTCAGTTACTGAAATTTACAGACGGAAAATGAGGTGAAAACAGGTTTCTCAAGAAACCCAAAAAAAAAAAAAAAACAGGTTTCTCAAGTCTAATGTGATTTGTATTTAAATATATATATATATTATAAAAATTAATTTAAAAAACTGAAATTTGTTTAAATAATATAATTCAAAAGCAAGTTTAAAACTGAAAACTTGAATTATATATATATATATATATAAAAAATAAATATAAGCTATACTATATGATATAAAATTTATTTTTGGTAAATAAAAATATTTAAATTAAAAAATAAAGATAAAAACTATTCAGAACATTTTAAAATTACGTGTTATATTATGGTATTTAAATTATGATAATAAATAATCATTGTTATAATATTATTATAAGCACAATAATATTATAATATTCATAATTACAATTAACCCTCCCATGTTGGCCAAAAAACATTGACTCTTCCTGACTCTCACTCAAAGTTGTTAAACTCATGATCAAGAATCCAAGACATAAACTCCAAATGTAAAATTAGATTGTAAATTTATAAGAGTTTATCTTTATTAATAAATAGTTTTTAAAAATATATAATTAAATAATTAAAATATCAAACATGATCATAATTTTATTTAAATATATTTTAAAAATAAATTATTAAAATTAAATTTAATCTACATTCATAATTTATCATACTCAATATAGAAATTTTAAAAGAGAGAAACTTATTTTGGTATTTTTGGTTTTCTTTTTGATTAATATTAGTTTTTTTTAGTGTTTTTTAATTGAATCAGATCCTATTATTTTTATGAATCAAATTCTATAATATATATATATATATTTTGTTCAACGAGTTTATAAGTTAAAAAAATAAAAATAATAAATTTAAAAAAATTAACTTGTAAATTTAACCAAATTTTATTTAATTTAAATTTATATATAAATTAATATAATTTTATAAATTAAAAATATAAAAATAATAAACTCATATAGTTAATTTAAGAATTTGATAACAATGCTCTCACTTTTTTAAATGTTCCTTTTCCAAGCTTGCAGCGCTTGAAGTTGACTTCCGTTTCTTTTAAGTCTTGTTAATCACTCCCCTTACTCCTTTTCCTAGCTTCTCTACCCTCGTATCTCAATTTCAATGGTTGAGATTTATTGTATTATAAAGTTATTATTGTATTAAATAATAAATATATTTATAGGAATAATATTATAATAGATGTGATATTAAATAAAAATAATTTAACAAATGTAAGGTGTGAGATTTTATAATATATGATTTAATATTATTGTTATAAATAAATTTATTATTTCATACAATAATAACTTATTTCGCAGCGCTTCTTCCCTGATGCTCAGCCACTTCACGTTTCTTTCTTCTCACTTTCATTCGTATGGATCATCAGACTTCCTTTTCTGTCCTCTTAAGTCTTATCTTTACTAGGATGAAAATAGGCAAGGAGTTTATTGGCAAACCCATAGCCTGGTTAGGCTAAGACTTATAACTAGGGCTCCGTTTGAATTTCAATCGGGCATAATAGATTATGAAAATAATTGATTAAGTGATAGATTTTAATCATAATTGATTATGTTAGAACGCAATATGTTTGGATGCTGTTTTTCTAAAATTGATTTTAACAGAACTGAAGATGTTTGGATAATTTTTTTAGAATTAATTTTAGCTGTTTAAATTACCATAAAGGACATTGTTTTTTAAATTTAAATTAATGATAGATTTGTATGTAATAGTATTAAAGTTGTTACATTTTATTTAAAAAGCAAAATATATTATTTAAACTACATATATAATTAATTAAAAATTTAAATTATATTAATATTAACATTTAAATTTATGTAAATAAATAACTAAATATATCTTGCTTAAAATAAATTCAATAAAAGACAAGAAAATTAAATTCTTAAATATAAAACAGTAATTTTACAACAACTAATGAAGATGATAATATACAAGTTGGTCCCTAATAATATCACGAATACTAGTCATAGCTGATAAAGAAGATGTCATGGATGAATATCCATCAACGCCATGGTCTTCTTGGTCCTCATAGTCTTCCTGATCTTCCATCTCATGATGCATAAAATTAGCGTCAGAGTTAGAGTGTCTTCTAATAAAATCATGTATCGCCATTGATGCAACAATGATTTGAACTTGTATATCGTAGTCATAGCTAGGCATGTTGCATAAAATTGCAAACCTCTTCTTCCAAACTCCAAATGTTCTTTCTATTGTGCACCGTAAACTTAAATGAAAATAATTAAAGACCTCATTATTATTTGCAAATCCAATTGATCTTCTAAAATCAGGAAGATGGTAGCGTTCCCGTCTATACGGACCAAGATATCCATTTGGTGTTGGATAACCAGCATCTACCAAATAATATTTACCTTGTAAAAAAAAATTACTATTAATGCTTGTAAGCTGGAAAGTCTAATACAAATAAATTGAACAAATAAAAATACCTGAAGGCGGGTGTGGAAAGTTCATGGATCGAGCTGTCAGGGCATGTTGAAAAATACGAGCATCATGTGCAGTGCCCTCCCATCCAGCCATGACAAAAGTAAAGCACAAGTCCCAATCACACACAGCCATTACATTTTGCATAGGGATTCCTTTTCTTTCAATATATTTTGATTTTTCACTAGCAGGGACTACACATGGAATATGTGTGCCATCAATTGCTCCAATGGCATTTTTAAAGAATGGCCAATATCGCTTATCATTTTCTATTTTGTTTGATACATGATGAAAGGACTTGTCTTGTGGTTTAATATATTCCATTGCAAGTTTCGAGGAAGCCATTAAAACTTTATGAAAATGTCTATGAATAGTCTCTCCTGAATGTTGAAATCTTTCTTGTGCCATCCTATTTCCCAACCCATATCCAATTGTATTTAAAAAAATTGCAACCATCTCCTGTACTTTCATTCGCCTAGTATCCTTCAATCCATGCCGTGTCAATTCACTGCATAATTGATGGAACACACGTGGTTCCATTCTAAACATTTCATAGCAACGAACTGGGTGTCCTTCTAAAATTTCATTCACCCACAAATGACCTATATATTCACTATTTCTTCGTGGCTCTTTGCACAAATGTCTTGTTGCATACAACCCAATGAGAGCACTAACTTTTTGGGCTCTATGTAGCCTTTTTTTAGATGACTCTTCCATATGTCTTGCTATCTTTAGCCAAATACATAAATAATACGTGCACTTAATTTCAATTATAGATACATCTAAATAAGTCATCTATAGAAATACCAATGACTTTTCCACAACATTGTAATACTCGATTACCATATATAAAAAGTACATAAGTAATTCAAGAGGCTACATAAGTTAAATTCTATAATATAATACAAACATGTTAGATTACTTTTTAAGTAAGATCATATACTCATAATAAGTTTTAAAACTCCAATAATCAACCATTTTTGTAACATTCATATCTCAACCACTCCAAAACGCTTTCTTTATCATCCTTCATCGTCAAAAACATCACCCTAGCCTCTCGGGACATGAAGAGTGAAATGCATCGTGAAACCCAATGTTTATTAGTTGCAACTTTTTCCCATTGTTTGACTATAGACATGACTTTGGGAATTGATGTTTCCTTAGCCTGTTGAGATTCTTCCTTTGTTGTTTGAGCTATCACACTCATTGCATCTACTATTTGACTTGTACTAGGTAACTTGTTCTTCTTTCTACCATTACTGCTTTCGCCCCTCTTCCTCTTACCACTGCTTCCACTTAAGGTTCCTTGAGAAGTATTTAGAACTACTCTATTAAATTCACCGCTTACTCCAGTAGTTCCTAAAATCTTATCACTATCTCCTGAACCTTCCTCCAAATCAATACCCTCATTTGCCATATCAGGCCGATACACCTTTTCATCCTCACCTTCATTCCTATTGTAAATGTTAGGCAAAACTCCACTTGAAGGTGCCCATGCTCTAGGTCCATTGGCGATAGTACCTTGGAACAACTCGGTTAATTCATCGGCAAATGGTAATCCTTTATGTCTGAATTTCTCATATAATGAATTTTCCTGCACATAAATTATCAATAATATTACAGAATACACAAATAAATAAAATAAATATAAAGCCTCATATAATAACATCATACCAATATCTTTTTCTCCCACCAATCGTCTAAAGCATCCACAGTATTGTTTGTATAATCCCAACCCAATCCTGTCTCACTTGAAACTAACTTATCCCACAGTACCCACTCTTTTCTCATATTATCCCACTTATTCTTGAATTGTTGTCTGTCATATTTCTGTCCAATCTTCTCATTGAAGGTAGAAATTATGCTGAGCCATCCTGCTTTGGTAAAACTACCACCATTTCTTTGCGATTTTCGAGCTTGGTCCAAACAAATGTTAATAAAGATTCTAGTATTTCTTCGATCCCATGAAGCTTTTGACTTATTGTTACTCATTATACTATGTAAAAAACTAACATATTAATTATAGGAATTATAATTAAAATATTACATGATAAAAACTTGGCAATTTTCAGAGGAGCCAAATTCAACAGAGACTCACACAGCAAAAAATTTGACTAAATGATCGCTATATATGCAAAACATAATGTTTGAGAATAAAGCTCCAGTAATCAGTGATCACAAACCAAAACCAGCAAAGAGTTCGACTTGGCACAAAATTAACTTTCACCAGCTTTCCCA